ATATTATATTATATTATATTATATTATATTATATTATATTATATTATATTATATTATATTATATTATATTATATTATATATTACATTACATTACATTATATTATATTATATTATATTATATTATATTATATTATATTATTATATCATATCTTTAAATCAGTAACAAAATCTTGTTTTCTCAAGTTTCAATTTTCTTTTTGGTTCAGTGGCTGAAAGGCAATCTCACCCTTTACCCCTGTCCACTGACACTAAGCCACTTATGTTTGACATTAAGCTCTGGTGTATTGTCTGGTATCTTGTTTAATCCCTGATAATTTGGAATGTTAATTCTGCCTAAAAATGTTTCACAGTATCTTTCCAGGCAACATCAAATCAAGAATCATGTTTAAGGTTAAAACATGAATCATACAATGTGTATGAGTGAATCCATATGTCATAAAAAGTAAGTTTCCTTTAGGTGGAGCTTGATTTTTAGTAACTTGGTTATTACATGGACACATCCATTTGTTTTTCTTAGCAACAGTTTGGGTATTTCCTTGCCTTCCTATCCGATCTATAGTTTTCCACCAAAGTTTAAGCTTCCTTAGTAATTTTGAGCATCTAAAGATTCATGGAAGATTTTATACATTATACATTTAACCATGCTGTGAAATCAATAGACATGTACAACCAACTATATGAAGGTATATTCGATAAGAAGGTCATGTTTCTCAGCTATATCAACATAAGCTACTTATACTTCATAAGTGGTGGATGTAGGCTAAATTACACTGACTTGCAAGGCAATCTCTAGAAGAGAATTTTAGCTTCTATAGTACTGCATGAATATCTTTGGAGTAAAACTTGCTTTGGTTATCTTATGGCATATTGGCCAACATTTGCCTAACCAGGATATACTTATCATTAGCTAGGAATGATGCAGGTGGCACTGATATAACAAAGTAGTGATCTAGTCAATATCTCCTTTCTTTTGCTAAAAAAAAAACTTGATTGATCAAACTTGTGAGGGGTATAAAAAATGAGTATCTGTGGATCCATTTGATGATAATCATGGCAAGGTATAGAAGACTATAACATGTAAAGTGAATGGTAAATGGTAAAGAACGGAAATTACTGAATAAACTGAATAAAATACATACAATGGGTATCTGTGAAATTAAAAAAGGGGGGAAGGTGTGGCACCCATTCTCTGGAATATTATTCCCCCCGAGATTACACTTGCCTGAACCCTACTTGGGACTGCCATCTAGGCTGTGACCAAAGCTCATGGCTGATTTAAGTACTGGATATTATTGATGATCTCTATGCAGCTATTTTTATACCACTGATTCATTTTTAAATTTTGTCTCTTTTTAATTTGTTTTAATTGTTAGCCATATATATGAAATGGGTGGCCATGTAAGATGATAGATATGAATGAATGAATGAATGAATGAATGAATGAATGTGGTCCGATTTTGTGAAGTTGATGAATGCATGAAAGAAAAGGAAAGGAACTTGAAATGGAATGGATTCAAGTTGAGCAGTTGGAAGAAGAACTTCTCCTGTTCTGAAACAGATGAGTAAACTCTAATATTCATATTCTGAATAGAAAAAAGCTATGGAAATGCTAACTCGGGTAATCAAATATATCTAACAAATCAGAATTATTAAGCAAATAAATATTGCTGACCATCTATCAAACATATATTAGCTCAAACTTCCACAAGTGATGGAAAAGATGTTGGGACTACAACACTCAGGTTTTGCAAGCAGCATAAATATAGTGGCTAGAAACTACCATGAAGGACTTCTACACCAACACAACTTCCTAGCACCCATGAAGAAGGCTGCATTATTCATTATAACATACTGCTTATGGTGAAGAATATAATCTTAACGTAGACTGTGATGAGGAAACCCTTAATGTTTTAAAAAGTCTATGACTGTAATTCTGTGTAGAAGCTCCCCTTTCTCACGTACGCTGACCATTCTGTTTGCCTCACATACTTATCACATACTTATGCCACTGTGTCCATTAGATATATTTTAATGTTCAATTGACTAATTAACTACATGGATTTATGGCAGAGTTATAGAGTATCCTACTGAAAAGGCCAGCAATTCTCCCCTGTGTCTTTATATAGTCACTGAACTGAATATGTGGAATCAGTATCTCAGTTCCCTTTATGCTCCACCAGAAATCCATGAAAAGTTTACCAAAGCACGGGCATTTGGATTTGCTCTCTTATCCAGCAGAAGCTTGGTGACACGATAGTGACCACAGTGTGCAGCAACATGGAGGGCAGTCAGGTAATCCAATGTAACATCATCAACAGGAGCTTTGTGCTGCAGTAGGTGTTTGACACACTCCACATGGTCACCCTGGGCAGCCATATGAAGTGGAGACAGTCCATTCTGAAACAAACAATGCAAAACATTATGCAGTGACAATCTGTAAATGCATGTTCATACAACAAAGCTAAATTTAAATCTTGAAAAGCAGCCTATAAAATTTACAGATTCATCCATCAAGTTACAATAATGCATTGTCTAGTTATATTTCAAAGTTGGTTTTCAAGATATACAAACTTACGATTTTGTTTATTCACTTGGGAAACCTCACTCTGTTTTAGAAACTAAATGGGTATTCATGCATTTGTGCTTTGGGTCCAATCCATTGTCTATTGTAGTATATTAATACTGCTTTGCCTAAATATACATCTAGTTTGTTGATATCTTTATTTTGTCTGCATATACTCTGCTTGTATAAGTTTATGAATGCATTATTACATAAAAGCAATGGAAACAGTACAGAAACAGAAGTGAATGAGAAAATAAATAACCACATGACACATATGAGAGTAAAGATGAATGAATTTTAAAATATTTGATTATACTTTTACCAATTGCTCTACTAGTTATTATTTATTTTACTGCTATTGGTTTCAACAGCAAACAAGCTCCCTTAAAGTACTTGACTGAACTATAAACACACCTTGGTCCTGGCAAGCAGTGGGGCACCTCGTTCCAGGAGAAGCTCCACGACTTGGTCATGTCCACTTCGTGCAGCACAATGCAGTGGCGTCAGCCCATCCTTTGAAAACAGCAAAAACAGAAACCATGTTCTTTTATCTTGGAGTCAAACAATCATTTAACTGTACTGCTAATAAAATCTTGCAGCAAAATTAGATCTTTAGTAGCAATGATGAAGTATTTGCTTTAGATTTTCTCCAATAGAGAACCCTCAGTAATGATCCATCATTAGTCAGATAGCACTGGCATTAATAAGTTTATGCAGCTCAGAAAACTGGCATTAAATTACAAGTATTTTTGTATATTACATCTAGATAATCTCACTAATGCACAGAATTACTGCTAGGGGAGATAGTTATACATATTTCTATGTGCCAACTGTAATTTATTAGCAATGAAAAGAATAATAAGAACCATTAAGAATATGACTCTTTCAGAAATATCCAGTCTGTCTATATAATAGAAAATTATAAAAAAAAATCTTTTCATGTAATTATTTCTGAAGTGTGGGTGGATCACTTTGGGAGATATGCATTCCAAATTAGGGTGCTGAGGGCCTGCCTTCCATGCAAGCTAGGAAAAGAGAGTCAGAAGACAAAGAGCTTCTGTCTGTGTTCCATTCCTGTGGAATAGCTAGTACTTTTTGGCAGTTTTCGGAAATTAAAAAACAGAACTGATTTTCAGAAATGTAAATTCATAATTTAAATTAAACTGGACTTTCTGGTTTTTCTTTGAAGATGTTTTGCTTCTCATCCAAAAAGGTTCTTTAGCTGAAGCGTCCTGGATGAGAAGCAAATTGTCTTCAAGAAAAACAAGGAAATTCAGTTGCCTCTTGAAAAAGCACCTTTGGGACAACCATGATCTGGATGACTGAGAACGTCCCTAGACAATTTAAAGTTTATGTGGCTGGATTCTGTTCACCTGAGGTAGTTGTTTATTGTTATTTTATTATGCATGGTATAGTGTACAAGCAGTCTTTGATTAACAACCATGCATTTGGCAAATGTTCAAAGTTACCGTGGCACCGAAAAAGGGTAACTTGCAACCAACACTTATGATCATCAAGCATCCCCATGTTCACGTGATCAAAATTAGGGACTTGGCAATCATTGTGTTGCAGCAGCCTGAAAGTCATGTGATTGCCTTTTGAGAGCTTCCCATCTGGCTTGTGACAAGCAGAGAAAATGGGGGAAGCCAGATTTGCTTAATGACTGCATGATTCACTTAACAACTATGGTAAAAAGGGCATAACATTGGATGAGCCTCATTTAACAACTACCTTGCTTAGCAATGGAAATTCTGGCGACAATAGTAGTTGCAACCCAAAGACTATCCGTAACTAATTCTCAGTTTCTGGTAAAATTGCAAATTGCTTGAAATAATTTCTCTCTAGTATATCTTAAACTCAAAAAATATCAAAGGTTATTTTTGATTTGCTCACCCTTTCCTTTTTCCTGACTGAATATTCTTTTCTCCTCCTTTAATTATTCATGTTCCTTTCTTCCTTCTGAGCCAAGTCCCTATTTATTCACAATTTCTTAGGTTTTACCTTAATGATAGAATATTGATACTGTCTTGTTTTTATGGTTTGTTTTAGCAACCTTATATCTTCCTGTCACAGAATCAAATATTTTCTTGTTTTCTAAGTTTAGGCTGTTGGGATAAGGGAGGTTGCATAGTGACATGGCACAATTGATTGTGCCTCACACATACTTTTTGGGCACTGCTGACTTGGTTGAGTTACACTGGATTTCAGGGGCTCCTAACAATAATGATAAAACAGATATGATTTCTTGTTTTTCCTGTAGATACGAATACAATCCATTTTGACAATACATATTCTATTTTTCTACTCAACAGTCATATCTTTAGCTGTAAGGCTTTTATATTATAAATTATGCAAATGTTATTCACTTACATATGACCATGACAAAATAGACAAAGCAAGGAACAAAAATGATGCAAGCTGAATCAAAGTTGGACACAAAGATATTGCACAGTCACATGACGCCAACAAATGAAACCAAAAGTCTGGAATCTCCCACACTGAAAAATGTCTTGAAAAATAGGAATTTATACGCAAATTGGATTGCCAGTCCTTTCAGATGTCAATGTCTCTATGCTGGCAGTTCAGAGAAATACTCCCATCTGATGTGGGTGATAAATTAAAAAATAAAACAATAAAGTCATTTAAAATCTTTTTCAGAAGAGTAATCTTACAGAAATAATAGAATCTGTGATTATATTTTCATCAAATATTGTTCCCTGTTTGGAAGAAAGAATAAAATAGACTATGGAATGTTAGATCTGTTAGAATACTTCTATCCGTAATCATATCCCAGAATCTTGAATTAGAAAGGCCATTGATAGCTACTATATCAGCTGCCTAAATAAATCTTTTGTTTCCATTATAGATGTAGATGTTCCCTTGGTTTTCTTTTCCATTCTCTTTCATCAGCTGTTTAGCTGGGTAGCACAAGTTAACCAGAGTTTTCTGTAGAAAGCTCTTCTTGAGCTTACTCTCCCCACAACTTCATTAAGGTTTAAAACTTTAAAGACCTGATCGTTTCCTCAACGGGTTCTATTAACCTGTTCTATAATTTAAACATAATTGAGTTTAAAGTAAACCCACATTTTAGCAGAATTGTATTATTAAAGCAAAACACGTGCATAGGCACCCATCTTAAAGCAATTCTGGCCAGCTTTCAATCAATAAAATCATGTAAAGCCAACAACAACAAACTAAAAACAAACAGGAAAAAACAAAATCAGATCTTGTCATCAAGCCACACCTCCCTGGTACATCCATATTCTAATCCTACCCAGACTTCACTCTATCACAAAGCTTGGGGAAAGAGCCAAATTTTAAGTACTCTAGGCAAAGACAGGAGAGTGAGGTCCGTTGAATGTTAGCAGGGAGAATGATCCATAAAGCAGGGGCTGAAATGGAAAAGGCATACTGCCAAGGTCTCACAAGCTGGCAACGTTTAAGGGAAAAGTGTTCCTATCTTGCACAGAAAGATAGCCTCAGAGAGAGAGAGTCCCTCAGATTACTTGGTCCCACACAATGTGGGACTTTAAAAATAGCATCTAGCACTTTGAATTGCACCCAGAAGAAAACAGGGATCTGGTGCAGCTTTTGATAGGGGTACAATAAATCACTACATGCACCATTGCATTCTGGACTAGTTGTAACTTCTTTTAGGGGAGTCTCATTTAGAGCACTTTGCAGTAATTCAAATGGATTGAAGTTTCACCCAAAGTTTATAAACTGAAAGAAAGGTTCTGTGCACTTTGAAAATTAAAGCTTTTTTTAAAAAAAACCAGTAACATCTTTTCACAGAGTAGCTTGAAAAAAAAAATCAGGCCATTTTAATGAATAACAGAGAACTGGAACTTTTGCACAAGCACTTTTCCAGAATGGTTTTCTGATAAGAACAAATGCTACATTTGATCTTAATCAAAAGGCCCAAATTCATTTTCAAAGTACATGCAACCAAAACAGAAAGAGTATTCAAAAAAAGACTTTTAACTAATGGAAGGATATATATATATTCTCGTAGAAGGATTTCTTCCATGAATAAATAGCACTGTGTGAATTTCCTTCTGCTCACAAAGACAAAATAATCTTCTAAAAGAATGTATTTTGATGATTAGAGTTCTAGCCCCTTTCAAGCAAAAATTTTAAATGCATGAGAACATACATTCAGGGAATAAAACACTCACCCTGGTTTTGGCATCGATCTGCCCTCCACGATCCAACAAGAGCTTCACCATGTTAGTGTTCCCCCTTTTGGAAGCCACATGCAGTGGGGTGATTCCATTCTACACCATGAAAAGAACAAACAAAAGCATGATGGGGTTGGAGACATTCAATGGGAATGGTTTTGCATTTTGACACAAAACAGTACAGAATATAAACACAGATGTATCACAGAGTACATTAAACATTTAAAAACAATTATATCTGATTCATAAAGACTACCAATCAAAACCTGACTCCAGGTATATAGTATGACTATCTAAACATGACACAACATAAATGTTTCTGATAGAGATGTGCATTAGAAACGTAACATTTATGATGTGTGATGTTTAGCATTTCATTAGAATGAACAGATGATTAATAAAGGTAAAAAGACTCTCAAGTTGTTTGTATCATCGCTCAGATCATGGCAATGGCATGAACAGATCTGGATAGTTTTCTGAGCAATGTAGCAGAAGTGATTGCCGCTGCAAGCTTGGTTAGAAAAAAATGTTGGATCCAAGCATTCTGAATGAAGGTTTATAAAACATTGTGTTTTGATGATCAGAGTTCTAATCCCTAGCCCTGGGATTTGCTCATATCTTCCCATCAAGTCCAACCAGGCCCAACCCTTTTTAACTTTTTGCAAGATCGATTGAGGTCATTCAACATCCTCCTCCTTTATTACAGTGTACGACAAGAACAAGATCCTCTACTTCTTTCTGGATAAGCCATGGGTTATGAATAAGGCACACAACTTAACAATTAAGAAGGTATAAAGTTTCCTGCCAGAGCAGGCAGCTGGACTAGTAGACCTCCAAGGTCCCTTCCAATTCTGTTATTCTGTTATTATTTAAAATAAATAAAAAATGCTCAGGGTAGCCGGACAACCTTTTCCATTAGGAAACAAGTTCCATTAACTTCAGTAAATAATGTGCAGGTTATCAATGATGCCACCTGCTAGTATTTCACCTATTTTCAAGTCCTTTGAGAGACATCTTTATCCAGTTACTTCCCCATCCCCTCAGAACCAGCAGGAAGGTAGATCCCATCCCTAACGATATGACCTTGAAGGAAAGCATTTTCTCTTGTGGTAGCTGAAGCCCAAACCCTATTGTCTATTTGAAAGCCCTTAAAATATTATTTTGTCATCAAGCCTGAGATTCCAAGAACTATGGAGTCCACTGAATGATATTGTTTGTAAGTTTGGAATGCTTTCTCCTATGGTTTTTATTTTAGGATAGTTTTAGCTGTTTTAATTGTGTTTGAATTGTTGTTTTTAATTGTTTTGATTTTGTTGTTATTTTAATGGTGTGTACCTCCCAGAGCCACAAGCATTGGAAAGGGAGCTACATAAACTTAACAATAAAATAATAATTCATGAGAACTAGAAAAGGATGATAATTGTGTCATTTAAGTGTGTAAAATTAATTAGATGTGTAAAGAAATAATAGCATTTAGCATTAAGGCTTAGAGTAACCTAGATTAAATGTAATAAAAGCAATGATATATGTCCAAATTTCTATTGATTCATGCAAGTAAACCCATAATTATCACGTGTGCTTGTTTAAAATATTATTTTAAATATGTTCTTTTACATATTCTTTTAAATATAAATTTGGGTGTTGCAATGCACTCCTATTTAAAATTTTAAAAGATCAAAACGTCAAAAGTTTTGCTGCAGACATACACAAAAAAACAATATGAAAGACAAAATGACCTTCACAGCTATATTTACATTCTATTAAATATCTAAGTAGAAGAAGCCAATTATCATAACAAATTATTCGCATTAAATGTCTTAAAGATGTCTGAAGATTTTGTTTCATTTCCTTTTCATGAATAGTAGATAAGGATTTGGCATGATGGTAGGAAATAGAAGGAAAAAACATTAAAAGCCACTTTAAATATATGAAGAAAACCAATCCTAATAAGATGTAGAAATTAAGCAGGGGAAAACATTTGAGCTATCAGACAGTTAATAATAGCTACTCTGTGAGAGAGATATAAGTAGTGTCTAAATATGACAAATAAATAAAATAGTTAGATGGTGAGTTATAAGATGTTCAAAATTAACAGCACAATCCTGTGTATACTATATTTGCTCCAAAATTAATCCTACTGAATCAAATAAAACTTCTGTGCAAGAATATGTAGGATGCAAGTGACTTACAGCTGAAAAGCTGTACTGTTTTTTTTTTAAAGTAAGGTTTTATTTGTACGATTTCAAGAATTAGACAAAGTAACTTTATATAAATACTTATATAGCTTTTCAAAATATTTCTAAATTTATTTGAGAGGCCATTATCTATTTTTTTAAAACAAATGCAAACCAGTTTATCAAGAATAGTTAAAACATAAACATCTTGCTCATCACAGGAATATAATTCAATAATTTCTAAGAGCTGCTGCAATATGCAAATGTTTGTCCTTGCTGAAATATGAGTTCATTTGATGCCCTAATGAGGTAAATTTGATCATCATGAAATGATTCATAGAGATAAATGAAGGATTCAATTGTTTCCCTCACAACAAAGGATAAAGATAAACTTTAGTGTATCTTGTGATGATGTAAAACAAACCAATCACTGTATAGTTTAGAGTGAGAACAAAGCAAATTATGAAGTGACAGTACCATGACTCTAGAGAAGTAACATGATCCCTATGAAGATCTATGTGGGGAAAATGAATTAATAAAGCAAAATTTCCCAATTTACTAACTTGAGACAATTGTAGCCATGATGATATGTGGGAAAGATCTTGGGAGACTGGGAAACTGCTAGATTCTATCAATGTAGAATAAGGTAGAATGAATTTGTCTGTTTGTGATTCAATGGTAATTTCTCAACTCTGAAAGTGCAATCCTCCCATCTCTGCTTGCTTTAGAGGCAAAGACACTATGAAAGGTTCCTTCTAAACCTCCTGCATCACTCATTATCCAGGTGTGGGCAATATTGATTCTTACCTGACCATTCCCTTGGCATGATGCCTTGATCAAGTCCTCCCAAGGTCTTTCTCACATATTGTCCTACATGTGCTTCAACGTCTATATAAAAATTTAAAGGAAACTTTCATAATAGAAAATCTGCTTCCATCTTAATCTGTCAGAGGTGTGGGTGGAACAAGCAATACCTCGATGATTGAGAGAAAGCAGCTGGTGCCTTAAAACCTGTCAAGGTAAGCATGCTAAAGAATAATAAAGCTTTTGGTTTTTCTACCATACATTTTTTTCTTGAATGCCCAATTCATAGCAATTCTTAATTTAAATATAGATTATTTTAAAATGAAGCAATACACATATTATATTAATACAGGTAATCCTCGATTTACAACAATTTGTTTAGTGACTGTTCAAGGTTACAATGGCACTGAAAAGAGTGAGTTATGATCGTTTTTCACACAACCGTTGCAGAATCCCCATGATCATGTGATCAAAATTTGGACACTTGGCAACTGATTCATATTTATGATGATTGTAGTGTCTGGGGGGGGGGGGGCTTTGATGACCTTTGTTACCTTTTGACAAGCATAGTCAATGGGGAAGTCAGATTCACTTAACAACTTTGTTACTAACTAACAACTGCAGTGATTCACTTAACAACTGTGATAAGGTTGTAAAATGAGGCAAAACTTGTTTAACAATTGTCTCACTTAGCAACATAAATTTTTGGCTCAATTGTGATCATAAATTGAGAATTACCTGTATTAAATATATTTTTTGCTCATTTACAGTGGTACCCTGTAAAAATATAATGAATACATTATAGTCAACTATTTTCTAACTATGAAACATGATATTATTTCTAAGGGGAAGGGGTATGGAGAATCATTGCCTTTAAATAATCTGTGAATAGATTTCCTTTCCTTCCTTATTTCCTTTCCTTCCTTATTTCTTTCCGTGTTTTCTTCTTTCCCTTTCAGTATATTTCCTTGAAAATTCTATGTGCCGAAATTGAGAAAGCATACCCTTGCTGTGAAGTCTACAACAGCTCCTCGGTTGAGTAGAAGTGTCGCTACATTAACATTTCCATAATGTGCTGCTATGTGCAAAGGTGTGAAGCCACTCTGCAAAAATAAAACAGTCCTGATTAGAAAATCCAGTTCTTTCTTTCCCCCACAAGACAATAGTTAACTAAACTGACCACTATTGAGCACTATAAGCCAGAATTGCTTTCCAACTTGTGGACTACTCTAATTGTACAAGAATTAAATGTTATGGCTTCTTATTTGTTCATTCCATTATTTATTCATTTTTCTTAGTTCAGATGCAAAACTCATTTTCTTTGTTTTTTGAGAAAATATTTTTTAATACTTATCAGGTACTGTATCAAATTCTGCCATGCTGCTTATTGACTCTCCATACAATTTAGAAAGTGAGGGATGTTGCGAACAAAATATGGATCTAAGAGCTGATAAAACTATAGATGTCCATGCTTAGCTATCCATCTTCTATAGCAAATTTCCATAGTTGTCTACAGAAAGCAATTCTGTGAAATTAAGGGGTAGCTTCTGTAAAGTGCTTTTAACATCCAATTGTGGATATTTTTATCATTTTTCCTTCAAGAAAATAGAATCTGTGCTCTGCTGAGCTGGGAATACTTTAAATTGGAACAGAGTTCCACTGATTTCAGTATATTAAATTGCCCAGCACTTGAAAACATAATAAATTATGAAGAGGGAAAGAATCTCAGAAATTTAAAAATGCCATTTGTAAGTAACAAACAATCCAAACCAATTGTCCAGATGAATATTTTGGAACGGATTTATACTGCTACAGAAATAAATTCATGTTATAGGCAATTGTTCTGTACTTAATAATTCCTCTGCAGGCCCATTATTTTAGTTCCCTACTCTACTATGAAAAAAACATACAAAAATCTTGAGTATCTCAAAGCCAAAAAACACAATAAAAAAGATGAGACAGTATATATTTCTGCCAAGAGTACATAAAAATGAAATGTGACACATTCTGAACTGAATGGAATGGCGGCCGTGACGGCGGGGGGATGAAATGATTTTCAGTAAAGGGTTGGCAAGAATAGGTTAACAAAACTGTTGGGTTTTGGTACCTCAGTTGTTCTATTCACCATCATCTGTTGAAGCGTGTTTTGGAAAAAAGAGGAAAGATATTACAGATTGGTAGAATGAAAGAAAGCTCACTTGTTCTCTAACATAAATTACAATCTTGTTACTAGGGGAAAAAAAACCCTGATATGCATAAGTAATTTCTAATGCCAGTGTATGGAATCTCACATTTCCATGGATTGCACAACCCAAAACTATTTAACAACAAAACTTTTTAACAGTTGTTTCCCCCCAGTAAATAATCAAAAGTCTAAATTTTATATTTCAGAATCTAAAGCACAGTATTAATTGGATTGTATTTTCAAAGATAGAGAGTACTGAAGAATCACAGGAAATCAACCCAAGAAAAAGGAATCTGAAGAATGAATTATGCCTTTAAGTCCAAATCTTCTTGCAACTGTAAGAAAAAGGGGAGGGTTTGCTGCATATATATGATTCAGCAGCTATGTTAGTAGCTTTTATAGTGCTGAATGCTTATTATCCACATTAAGATATTTTATAAATATGATATAAATCATAAATTAATAAATATATGAATAATATGTTGCAAATGGTTGCACTTCCAATTTCACTAAAAAAACATTTTTTTTATCCTACTCATTGGGGGGGAAATACAGTAATCCTTGGAAATATATTTTTGATACCATCCTGGAAAAAGAGGTAATGTTTTTTACCTTAGACTGAACATCTGCATTATGATCATTCTGGAGAAGAAGCGCTGCTGATTTGGTGTCATCTTTTCTGGCAGCAATATGCAGTGCCGGCAGTCGCACTTTCCCCTTAGTGTCATTCTCCAAAAGAATAGCCACTGCCTGATTGTGTCCTTGCTGCAATGCAACTGCTAGTGGAGTGAACCCATCCTGTTAGAATGGGGAAAAAGGAGATGATGCATTAAAGTTTGGTGCTATCTAGACATGACTTTGGAAGAAAAGTCTCAAGTTCCATTCAGTGGAATAGGCTTGCTTTTGGCTACCACACATCAATGTTGGCTTATCACTGAGGTAATATTACCATTTTAAACACAGTATTCCTTATAAGACTATTCAGTCTAAGTTTAGAAAAAAAGTTTTCTAAAAGTAAATGAAAGACAAAATCCACATGGCCCTTTTTGGTATAAAGAGCCCTCACACAAATCATATCATTTATCAATAGACAATATTTTTATTATATTCAGGGTGAATATTCACTTGTAGAATCCCACATCAAAGCACATTGTTGACTGCATTATATCCTTGATTCTCCAGATAGCAAACCTAATTTGAAAATAAAGTATAAGGCATACCTACATTTCTTGTGGTACATCAGGTATTGAAAATGTATAGCTGCCCTATCTATTTATCATTTAGATGGAACAAATTTAGATTAGATCATTGTAATTAAGAATATCATTTTAAATGTACAGAATGTAGTTTTGTCATAATTCTTAACTTTAAAATACTGAAATTTCAGGAATGTTTCCTAGAAGGACATTTGATAGAAAATAAGCAGAGCATATAAGAAAACATGAATATGTTGAATTAGGCAATATAATATTGACTATGGTTGGAATTAATGTGACACATAAAAGGAGACAGTAAGAAAAGATTGAAGGCAAAGTGATAAAGAAGAGTGCAGATTGTCTCTCATCATTCTTTCTTTTGGAAACTGGGAACAGAATATTAAAACAGGACTGGAGACCTAGGAATCATGTGCAAACACTGGGACCCACAAGGTGGGATCAGAAATAGAAACATGACAGAAGCATCATCATGATGCAATCCACAGCCCTTTTTAATGTGTATTGATGCAATTACAAAAACAATAGGGATTGAATTGCAATGCTGCTTTGACTACCTGTAACTTGTCTTTTTTGATATATACAAACATCCTAGCAAGTATCACTATGCGCAAAGCTTTCTACACACATTTAAAACAAATTGCAATCTAGCAAAAAAGAATTATTAGGACAACCACAAGCTAATAATGGATTCCTGGTTTAGGCCACAATTTTGGTTGGTTGGTTGGTATGGCCCAGCAAATACCAATATGTGTAAATCTTTCCTTATACTGCCATTCAAAACAAGCTGCAATATAGTGAAAGAAGTTTTAGGATAACAGAAGCTAATAATGAATTGTTGGTTTGGGGTTATATATTTTCTTCTGTTTAAAGAAGACAGGAAGTGAAATGGTTTCATTCCAAATCTAGAAACACTCAGTAATGCCTGCTAATATAGTAGCTGGTTTTAGAACTAACAGAGAAAAAGTGTTATTCATCTCATCCTGTTACATGCATTCACTTAAAATAGAATAACACAACTGCTACTCATTCCTATCATAATATGAATGCGCTATCAATTCAAATCCTCACAAGAAATGAATTAATGTACGTGGGAAAATAACCATGCAATATGTTATCATCACCACCATCATCAAATAGCGAAATGTAGGCACCAAGCTCATCTAAGTGATTCATTCATTTGCACTGTTGTTTCTGTCCAGTTGCTTAGTAACCACATGATATTCCATATCCAGCAAAGTTACAATGGGAACATCATGGCTTCTGTCCATCCCAGCAACAAAAAGCTGCAATGTAACATGACCTCAATCCATTCCAGCAGCAGAAAAGATTATTTTAAAAGCCACTGTCAAATGGAACAGTATCCATCCAATGAAAGGATAGCAAAACAGCTGTTGATACAGGCAAGCTTGGCTCCTCTATTAAATACCATACTATCTTGGATACCCTGCAGTGGGATTACTGTATACCAAGAAGGGTGACAAATTAAGAAATTGATAAGGGATTGCTTCACATTACACAAATGCTAAAGGTAGAAGATTGTTTTGTAGATAAATTTATTCATGAATGAGCACTTCTGCAATGTTAAATGTTATCACTGCACTGCAGTATCAAAACAGTAGGGAAATATTTAACCTAGAAATTTGGAAGACATAATGAAAACAAGATAGTTTGCAAAGACAAAAATATATTGTGTTTTCAGAATACCAGGATAAAGTAGGATCCATGATTTTAAAGAAAAGGACAAGCAGAGGAGGAAGAGGAAGATCTGAATACTGTACCTCAGTAGCAGTGCTCTGATTGGCTCCATTTTCCAAAAGATATTTTACTACATCGATATGGTTCTCCTGCGCTGCCATGTAGAGAGGTGTGAAGCCATTCTAAGGGAAAATAAAGTAATATGCAAACCATAAAATTATACACAAAATAACACACAAAATAAAGTGATTCATGAAGCAAGCTCAAGTAGAATCCAAAGGAAAAGCAAACAAAACATTCCACTGAACAACTCAATTCTAAGAAATATCAGATACTTACAAAATCTTCTTTTGGCAAAATGATTTTAAAGCTTGTACCTTTTTAAACATTTAATTTATTAAAGTAAATATCTTGTGAGCCCTATTAAATATGTATTAAGCATGAAACATGAGATTGTAGTGATTTAGCAACTTTATGTGGTTCGGTAAAGCTTAATATACCCTTCAGATTCTTTATGCAGCACTTGTTAATTTAGCATATGCTGCAAGAAATAGGATTTTCAAATAAATAATGTAAAAGTTACAATATTTATGAAGTAAAGAAGAAATCCATTATTTATTGCTTGTATTTAATTAAAAGTAACTCACTGTCCAACATAGAACAGTGACCTTAATCATGGCAGATTTATGGGCTGGAACAATATATATTCCATGGCACTGTAATATAAGGAAAAACTGTTTTGATTATAACAGGACTGCAAAAGAACTTTTACAACTTGATATCCTAACCAGGAGACAAAAAATGTAAACTCAGGACTTAAGGCAAGTGCAAGGTTCATATTTTCAAGGAATGCCTTGAAGAATAATACCATTCATTCTAAGTATCAGATTTAATTCCTATAATGCTACAGATTACAAAATACAGTTGTGAGCAGGCTATTAACAGAGTCAAATAAAACATTTGTTGCTTGCATTTTATGTATATCTTTGAAAATGACACTGAAGCATCTCATAATTAAAAATAGAAACAAAGTAACTTTCATTCTTCTTGTTTAATTCATCCAAGAATAAAACCCAAAGTAATATGTGCAATACACCTTTTATTAATATAGTTTTAAATTATTCACTGTGTACAGAGCATATAATATAAGAATTCAGAACAGCTTGATGAATTTTGTGTTATGGTTTTTTAACATCAAGTCTTGCTATTTTTATTTCAGGATTATTACATAGTTCTTCACTTCTGTTTTGAGGTCAGCATGCATTTTCTGGAAATGTATAACATTATGGTAATAAAAGTTCATCATTAAACAAATTTTGTTTGTCATGCCATTTTATTTTTAGCTACTATATGAGCTCAATTTTAAAAAATCCTCAACCAGTCATTGCATGTGTGATATGAAGTGCAACTTTAATACAATATGAAAAGGCACAGATTTACACAGACATTCATTTTAGCATATAAAATATCAATTAAAAACATGCATGCGAAGAAAATGTACTTGCCAACCAAACTGGAGTTCAAACTGTTTCAAATATGAGAATGCATCAAGTCCAAGATCTATTCAAAACAACTACCAAATGCTGAGTAGACATCGTATATCTCAACCATTAAGTTCGAAGAGTATATGACACTGAAATGTCGACCCATATATCTTCCACAGGAATTCAGCGTGGTTTTGATTACTGCAGTCTATATCCCACTTGATGCCAATACTACCATAGCTGTGGGATTCTTGTATATCATTGTTAGTAATCAGCATATCATAGCGGGGGACTTTAATCAAGCTGATTTAAAAGAAGTGCTCCCTAAATTTTATCAGCATGTTAAGTGTGCTACTAGAGGAGCAAACGTATTGGACAAAGTATATACCAACATCAAACATGGCTATAAGGTTATACAATTATCACATTTGGGACAATCAGACCATATGTCACTGCTTTTAGCACCAGCTTACATCCCTCTTAGGAGATGGGCTCTGCCTATAATTAAGACAATGAAATATTGGCCAGAAGATGCTTCCCAACAACTTCAGGATTGTTTTGAGAACACCAACTGGGACATCTTTTACCACCCTGACCTAGAGGTGCACACTGCAACTGTTCTGTGCTATATCAAACACTGCACAGATACTATCACTGTGGATAAACCTATTAGGATCTATCCCAATCAGAAACCCTGGATGACCAAGGAAGTCCAGCACCTCTTGCATGACAGGACCAAGGCCTTTAGGTCCGGTGATGGGGCAAGATACAGTGTTGCCAGAGCTAATCTAAAGAAAGGTATTCGGAAGGCCAAGACTGATAATAAGAGGAAGATTGAGGATAATTCTTATAGCAATAACATGAGGCAGGTGTGGCAAGGGATTCAACAAATTACAAACCATCAACCGACCAATGTCATCCCTGCTGAGGGGGATGCTTCATTGGCAGAGGAACTGAATCATTTCTTTGCTCGCTTTGAAATGGAGACATCAGTGACAGATAAAATACAACTACCAGCCAATTGTAGCCCCCACCTCACTGTGGAGAAACAGGAGGTGAGGAGCATTCTGAGGGCTGTGGACCCTAAAAAGGGGTCCTGACCGTATCTCTGGCCAAGTGCTTAAAGACTGTGCTGATCAGTTGGCTGGAGTCTTTACTAGGATCTTCAATCGGTCTTTATCCCAGTCCACTATTCCATCTTGTTTGAAGGCTTCCACCATTGTTCCGCTGCCAAAGAAGTTCCCTATCAATAACCTCAACGATTATAGACCAGTGGCACTCACTCCTATCATCATGAAGTGCTTTGAGAAATTGGTCTGCTGGCACATCATTTCTGGTCTTCCACATAAATTTGATAAATACCAGTTTGCATACAGAAAAAATAGATCTACAGAGAACGCTATAGCCATCACGCTTCACACTGCTCTGACTCATCTAGAACAGTGGGAGGGCTATGTGAGGATGCTTTTTGTGGATTTTAGTTCTGCATTTAACACAATTCTTCCACAGAGACAAGTGTCTAAACTTGTGGACCTTGGGCTTTCTAATTCAATCTGCCTTTGATTATGGATTTCCTGTCTGGCCGCTCACAGAGGATCAGATTAGGTAATCATACCTCTTCAGCCCTTATTCTTAACACTGGTACACCACAGGGTTGCGTGTTGAGTCCCTTACTCTATACTGTTTATGTGCATGACTGCATTCCCAGTCACATTCGTAATACTATTGCTAAATTTGAAGATGATACAACAGTGGTGGGACGTATCTCTGGGGGGGTAAGTCTGCCTACCGAGATAAGGTGGACCGGTTGATTTCATGGTGTGGGACAACAACTTGGCCCTCAACACCAATAAGACCAAGGAGCTTATAGTGGATTATGGAAGGAACAGATCAGACATCCAGCTCTTGCTTATCAATGGTGACTGAGTGGAGCAAGTGGCCAGTTTTAAGTTTCTGGGTATTACCCTAAAAGAAGACCTGACCTGGGGTGCCCACATTGTAGCCCTGGTCAAAAAGGCCCAGCAGAGACTATACTACCTGAGGCTTCTCAGAAAACAACAACTGAATGAGAAACTGCTGGTGATCTTCTACCGCTGCACCAGAGAGAGCATTTTAACATACTGTACCTCTGTATGGTTTGCCAATTGTACAGTGGCAGATAGGAAAGCAGTCCAGAGGGTTAATGTCATTGCCCAGAAGATCATTGGTTGCCCTCTCCCCTCTTTGGAGGAGCTTTATAGCTCCCGCTGCCTTAAGAAAATTCAGAACATTCTCAAAGATCTATCTCATCCTGGCAACCCTTTTTTTGAACTATTACCACCTGGAAGATGGTACAGAATAATAAAAACAAGGACAAATAGGCTGAAAAACAGCTTCTATCCCAGGGCAGTAGCTCTTTTGAATTCTCCCTTATAGTGCAGTGTTGGTGTGGTGTTGGGGGTTTCCAGTTCAATGTGTGAAGAGTGAAGGATGTGTGTTTGTGTTTATTTTCATGGTCATGGTCATGATGTGCACTGAAGATGGTGTTTGATTTCGCTGTACGAGGTGCAATGACAATAAAGTAAACTAAATATAGAATCAAACCAACCACATTATTTCCATAAATAAAATGTCTTCCATTCCCTGGAGAACTTTTTTTAAATTCAAAAGCTAATCTTTATTTTAAAACATAATGAATTCTGCATAATTGTACATATAATATCTAACTACAAATTCTAATTTTGCATCAGGAGATCATTTTAATGAAATTTAGTTATATGCAGAACACAGACATACATCCTAAGTAATCACCACATTTGAATAAGGCCATGGCTCTGAGGCTACCTGATCGCTTGGCCCTGTATGAATTCTCTCTTAAAAGGACTGTGAAAACTGATAATATCCCCACATCTAAGTACTAAAAAAACCAAAACATTCTCAGCATAAAATATGAAAGAATTTAATTCACTTATAACTACTGTTATCTCTGAATTCTCAAATTATTGATTTCCAAAATAATATATACATTTTTGGAAAGCTTAATTGTTACCAAAAATAATCAAAAGAAATTGTAATTATTTACTATTAAATCAGAAGGCAGTAAATTCCAAAACCAAGCTACATTTACCTGTTGATTTCTTTCTAACATAAATCTGCATTAAATTTCAGTTGTAAAGGTGTAATAATGTTCTACAATGCCTGCCATTTAATGTCTGAGCCAGACTATCATTATTTTCTGGATCAACTGTATCTGGATCAAAATTCAAAAACTGAACATCTGTTATAATGACTACAGGCAGTGCCTAGATAGAATATTAAGTGCTACCAATAACTGAGCTGAAAAAAAATGGAGTAATCATTTCATCTGGGGAAGATTTGTTTTGCTTTTTTATGGAATTACAATTCCATTTTTCTTTAAAATGCATTTTAAAGTTAATTGACTATTTTATATTTCTCTATATATATATCTGTATCTATATCTTGAATATATATTCAAGTTCAATGTATTTTTGGCATACAGTAAGCAAAGGTTAGTAATTAAAGTTTATTTAATTAGAAAAAGAAATGCACAGAAGGATAAAATTGGTCCACATTTACTTCCAAAATCTAAAAGGAAAACAAAATAAATTAACTACTTTGATGGACATCCTATGTTATCATTTTTTAAATGGTTGTCAATTTGCTTCTGAGTGTCGTTGAAGGTGCTGGCTACCACATATACAGTGCACGGAGCCTGTATTACTGTCTTCCATAGATTTTTCCCCCAGGTAATTTATTTTGGCAGGATTGGTGTGTTCAGGATCCATTGATTAAACAATGCTATCTTTTGTGACCCCAGAAGCAGCCCTTCTCTGTAGCAACACTTATCCTCTGGAATGAGGTCTCCATTCAAGATTCAAATCCATACACACACACACACACACACACACACTTTATTTCAAAGGGCTGAAATGTGGAGTCCTTGGTGCTTTCTGAGCTTGGCTGTTTCTCTGCAGATATTTTGTAAACCAAACTAGGCAACATTATCATTGGTAATGATCATGTTCTTCATGCAGGCCTTTGGTAAATATGATGAATGTCCCTTTTCTTCTTTTTTCTTGTTCCTATCCAGGTTTGTTTTCTCTGCCATCTCCTTTTATTGTGTGCTGTTTTTGTGGGAGGGATTTGTTTGCATTGTTCATTAAATGTTTTTTAACTATTTGTAAACCACCCACAATCACTGGGAGTCAAGTGGCATGCAAATTTTAAAAACTATTATTGATGTACATTTGTGTTAACATTAATGTAGGACCACAGGTATGGTGTAGTGATCCAGCAAAGAACACACACACACATATAAAATTAGGATCTGGAATAAAAGTAGACACATTTACTAATATTAGTAGATGTGTCTACCCCAGTTAATAATCCATTTTCTACTTTTTCATTTCTCCATGATACTCTACATATACTAATGTGCAGGCATGAAATATGTTGCCATTAATATACTGTTGTAGAAAACAAGTAAAATTGTGTATCTGGAAGATGCTATTCTGTTCTTTCATTCTTTTCTCTTTGTTATTCAGTTCCTTTGTATAATATGAATCTTCAGTGAGCCTTTCTGTTATGCAACACTGCTGCCTGTGATGCAGCAAAAAATATGTAGGATCCAAATCTACGCAATATGGATTTAATACATACACTCATACTTATTTGCAAAGTCAAAGTCAGCTACAGATGATGTTTAGGGTAGTCCAGTTGACCACAAGCATATTAATAACATATCATTAAGGTGTATATTTGTATACTTTATAATATACTTGTTTATAGATATATTTATTTGTACATAGTATACATTACATACTAAATATACTATGTCTGTTTAAGCTCAAAAATAGATAACTCATTAACAATTATTTTTTAAATCTCACTGTTATCTGAAAGTTGTCTAGACAATTTTAAAGAACCTGTTCATAAAAATCAAGAAACAATGTAAAACAACAGAACATTAATTTTGTCCACATTAAAATGGGACAAAATATAACACAGCCTTAAAAGCCTAATTTACAACACAGTAACAAAGTTCCTAAGATGAGAGATCTCAGTCTTGAATACCTACTAAGCTAGTTTCCATTAATGGTAGAACATCACTAACAATAAATTAAACAGCACTTCACAAATATGGAAGATGCAGTTCTAGTATTCCAGCAACAAATGATTTAGGGATTTAGTAACTAAATAGCAGTTTGAAAACCATCCAAACTGGGAATTGCTTATTATAATACCTGACCAAAATCTAGCTATCAGATTTTATGTAAGTATATCTTACAATTGTTTAACTATTCAAAGATAGATTCCAGCTGGATAATGTGTTTTAATGTCATTTGTTTTTGAGCCATCAAGTCAGTGTTTACTCCTGGTGACTGCCTGAAGAATCCCTGAATTTTTGTTGGGAAGCTTTGTTTGGAGATGCTTAGCCACCGCTTCCTTCCCAGGGATGAGGGTCACCCATCTGGTGTGGCCCAAGGCAAGACTAGAAGTCATGGTCTCTGCTTTCTTTTATAATGCTTTAACCACTATGCCAAACTGGTACCATGGCCAACATTTTTAGGGCCAAGAGCTGCCATTAATGTTGTATGAAGCATGCCAGTTATAATTACTGGCACAATGTTTGGCAAAGTTATAGTCCCCAAGCTACTTAATTTTAATTTAATTTTAGAGCCATCCCAGATAATTTTTGGCAAATTACACTGGTGGGTTTGGATAGAATTCCAAGGATAATACAAAAGAAGCCACCTATAAACCTTGGCTGCAACTTCTCCATCTCCAAGTAGGCTAACCAGAATCTAGTCAAAATAATAAGTCAAAATAATGTATGCAGTTTTTTGTTGAAAGAACTCTGATTCAGCTTTTAAAAATTAACATTCCTTAACTTCCCAGCTATTCCAACATTTTGAAACAGCTTATCAACTATAAGAGGGGAGGCCTCAGCTCTTAGAGTTTAATGCTTTTTAGACCAGCAGTTCTCAACCTTTCTGGCTTGGTGGATCAACGGAGGAGTAGGGGACGGGATGGTTCCATTGAGTGGTGGAATTTTGGAGTTTCATGTGTCAGTGCCTGCCACTGCACAAATGGAGCTTCATGTGAGTGCCCACTACTCATGTAAGTGGAGCTGCACTCATTCTCGCCTGCCACTTATGTGGCCCAGTTCCAAAGAGGCTGTGGCCCGATAGTGGGTCATGACCCAGGAGTTGGGGGACACCTTCTTTAGACTATCCATACTAATATTATGCAGGCATGAAATTGGGTGTATGTAAGTTGGTTTCTAAATGTATTGTATTCAAATGAGTTTTCCAAATTTCCCAAGTAAATTCCAACCATGTGGGATTATTTGAGATTGTTTTGACACGTGATCATGATCATTGGACATTAAAATATTGTAAAAATATTGATGCATATAGAAATGCCTTCATATACTTCAATAGAAATACATATTTTATACCTTTTATACCTTGAGGGCCTTTTGTGTGATGGACTTCGATAGCATCATGCACAGATTAAGAATTTTCGTCTGTTAATAGATGCCCCTTTATTTAAAAATTTGTCAGTTCCTTTCTGTTCTTTCTCTCCCTCCAGAACAGGAGGCCTCTTCTGTTTTGCTGGTGTGAGTCAGCAATTACAAAAATAGATCAAAGAATACTGTCTCAGATACCAAAGCATTTCCTGAATATAAGGGGGTGGGTGAGTAGGAAAGAATTATTCCAGATGCTACCTTGTAGTTATGTGAATAATTGTGAATAATCATTGCTCATTATTATGGTAAAAACTTCAGACTTTTAGAGAAAATAAAAACATAATAACGCTGTATTTTAACTCTGTATTTTGCATTTGCAAAGATATAGTGATTAAGCAAAATTGGTCATTTCTATTGGTAGTTCCTTGTTTATTAGACATACAGCTGTATATGAACCAATTTGTAATATTTTTAGGAATGTTTAAAATGTTATTGTGTCACTAAGGTATTTTTAAGCTGCAATATATCTAAAATTTAGGGGGAGGAATCTATCTTATGTTGGTGACTGCTTTTGCAAAAGGATATGTGAATACCAGATTATAAAGGATGGCTTAAATAATCCAGAAATGATTATTTGATATTATTGATGATAATATGCATCATTTATAAAACAGTTTCTTTAGCTGCATCTGCTGGAAATTGTTAATATCTTTATGGATATTGAATAAACTATGTACTTCACTATATATGTCATCAATTAACCTTGAGACAATTTTTATTTAGATTAAAGTGCACATATATGTGCAAAAAGTTGCACATATATGTCAACTTACCTGAGACTGTGCATTAATATTAGCTCCTTCCTTAACTAGAACTTTGACCACTTCAGCCTGTCCCGCCAAGGAAGCAATATGTAGTGCAGTATTTCCCTTCTGCTTTGCACAAAATAAAAATGCACACATTAATTTAAATTGCGCCTAGAATTCAGAGCAATATACTGTACAATCTCTGTAACATTAATAAAAATATGAATTAAATGTTGAATTTTTTCCATTATAAAATGTTCAATATCTTCCATTTCCTTTATAACTGGATTTAAATTAAGATTATCCAAACATATTTCTAGGAAAGCAATTATATTTATTCTTTTAAAAATAATATTAAACCAATACTGTTGGTAGGCGTTTTCATTAGGAAGCACCACAATTTGGGAATAATTTACTTAAATAGTTGTTTCCAATTATGAACTGCTGTCAGCAACATGAACATTGAAATATAGTTATGCATACCCATTCCTAATAAATCAGAAAAATTGAGCTACTTTAGAACAGCTGCTGAAAGAAAACAAAGGTTCTAATCCATAATGAAAAGAATTATGAAATTAATTCAGAATTTACTGTTGGCTTATTTAGCAATTAACCAATTCTTGGTTTCTTTAAAAAATAATAGAAATTAAAAATTCTACAAGCTGCACATAAGAAGGAGCAGGGAATGGGAAAACAAGTCTGGTTTCAGACTTGCCCCGCCTGTCTTAGTTAAATATTAAGTCCTGATTTTAGTATAATAAATCCAAAACAATCATTACTTGCAATAATTCTTGCAAAGTTTCACAGAATTAAAATTGTGATTCATGTGCAGATGAAATTTCATTCAGGATTAGGAAGAGAAAGCAACATTATTTGGGAAATTATATGGAATATACGAAGGCCATAATTTAGAAATAAACTTTAAATCATTAAAACAGTTACTAACAGATTTTACCATTCACTCCTTTGGGTTAATGATATTTTTCTAAGCACCTGGACAATAAATAGTACCTTTGTTGCAGAATCCACTGCAGATCCTCTTTCCAGCAATTCCTGAACCAAACCTACATGGCCTTCTTTGGCAGCCAGGTGTAAGGCATTAAGTCCATTCTGTAAACAAATAAATTATATTGCTAATTTGGAGGTTACAGTGACATGTCAGAATATGTCATATTATGCACATCGTTTCTCAACTTCAGTGTAAATCATAGACCTAACAAGATGGGAGCAATAATTCCCAGGGTGGAAAAATGATTAAATCAGCATAGAGCAGGTACTGTCCAAAGCTATAAAGAAAACAGTCAAATAATAATTTATAATTTAGGTGTGTGTATTTAATTTATCATTTTTCTACCTTTTCCAATCTTACAAGAATCTGAAGAATTCAACCAAGAAAAACAATATAAATATAGATAACATCTATGTAACACATAGAAATCAACTCATTAGTTGCCTACCATCCTTCCAAGGGCCAAAGTCCTTTGGAAATAAAATTGTCTTCAGAGTTTTTCAGAACCAGAAGAGAATTGGGCCCAGATGCACCTCCAGACAAAACGCCCTCATCAGTAATGCCTTACATATACACCCACAACTTTTACCTTATAGATGTTAAAACAGGATTGGCAGAATTATATTTGAAAAGGCATTCCTGAATGTATTGCAAGGAAAAGTAAATGCAAATATACTGAAAGAGATGGATGAACTAAATTACAACAGCAATGGGTACACCATTAGAAGATTTAAAGGACCAGATCGGTTACAGCGTAGCTGGGATAACTTATTTATATGGTCATTAAGAACTGACACTGATTTGATTTGAATTGATTCAATCCATCAAGTCTTCAGGTATACAGTGCTGTGCTGTATAGGCTTTTCTAGATAATGACTTCCAAAGCATCCTTAATGCAACATTTGAGTGACATCAGAATACTTATAACATTTCATTCAAATTTGTGGGTGTGATTTCCCAATAGTTTGCATATATATCTTAAATTTTAGAGAACTTAGTTTGTTGGTATAAAGTACCATGAGAAGCTTCGAAGTAAAACAATTGGTTCCAAAAACTGTGTGTTCCCAAATCACTTGCCCAGCTCATGGATAAACACCAGACCCTTTGCCTAGTAATTTAAATAGTATGGCATGCACTGACTGGAATTTTAGGGCTATCAGAGAATACTTGAAAACTAACTTATTCTTCATCAGTTGCAGACATGCAAGTCCATGAAAAGATATAAATGTAAGTGTTCAGTCTGCATGCTTTAAATCACATCTTCTCCTTTGATTATAGAACTCTGCATAGATTTGCTACAGTATATAGACCACAAGCTTGCTAATACATTTATTAGTATTTAATATGACACAAGGCATCATGCAACAAATATATTGAAAAGATACAATAGTTCATTCTGTTGAGACAGTTATGTGGAAGTTATACATATATGCAAAGGTACTGAGCATTAAATAAACTAACACAACACTACACATAAGATTTAGTTGTAATTGTCAGTGGAATCTGCAAAAGGTCAGTTGAGCACAATCAAATCTATTTAGAAGAGAGACTGGCTAGAAACCAAATACTGCTTAACTGATTAAATGGATCAAAGCAGGAAAAAAAGACACTGATGAAAAAATCTCATGTTGATTTTTCATTATCCAGAGGTTTTTCTAGGGATCAGAAAACAGAAGATCAGTGTTTTTTTTTTAGCTTTACACTATAGTGTCCTATTTTATTTTAAGAAAATACTGCTGTGAACCTACAGGAAAGTGATATTTATGAAAGGAAAATACAAAAGCAGGCCCTAGTTGAATGACAGTTGTGTCTAGTATTAAGACTGTCTTTTTAAAACTTCAGTATTGCATTTCTTTATACAACCAAGAAACAGATTCACAATTAAAAGAGGTCACATAGAAAAGTGTGACAGGCATTAAAGATAACACAACTAAATAGTGTTTATTTTACCATGTCCCATTACTATCTAGCATGTGTAAATAAATATCGTATGTGTAAATGAAATTGTTTATTCTTTCTTTATCATTTATGGTAGCTAGTGACAATCTCTAATTTCAGAAAATTGTAAACTTCTTTGTTTACAAAATTATCAGAGCATCTGCTTTTATTGTGATTTTAAGGGTTATATAATATTACTAACATTCTTTATCTTTTATTAATATTATGACAGACAGGGACATGGAGAGGAGGGGGAGAGAGAGAGAGAGAGAAAAAAATAACTGAGTTTAAGCAGATAATTTTTCCCTCCGTTCTTAAAATATAGTTTTTATGACAAACATTTGCCATATACAGGTAAAACTCGAAAAATTAGAATAGCATGCAAAAGTTCATTTATTTCAGTAATGCAACTTAAAAGGTGAACCTAATAAATCAGATGGACTCATTACATGCAAAGCAAGATAGTTCAAGCCGTGATGTGTCATAATTGAGATGATTATGGCTTACAGTTCATGAAAACCCTAAATCCACAATCTCAGAAAATTAGAATATTGTGAAAAGGTTCAATATTCTAGGCTCAAAGTGTCCCACTCCAATCAGCTAATTAAGCCATAACACCTGCAAAGGGTTCCTGAGCCTTTAAATGGTCTCTCAGTCTGGTTCAGTAGGAATCACAATCATGGGAAAGACTGCTGACCTGACAGTTGTGCAGAAAACCATCACTGACACCCTCTATAAGGAGGGAAAGCCTCAAAAGGTAACAGCAAAAGAAGTTGGATGTTCCCAAAGTGCTGTATCAAAGCACATTAATAGAAAGTTATGTGGAAGGGAAAAGTGTGGAAGAAAAAGGTGCACAAGCTGCAGGGATGACCGCAGCCTGGAGAGGATTGTCAGGAAAAGGCCATTCAAAAGTGTTGGGTACTTTGACAAGGAGTGGACTGAGGCTGGAGTCAGTGCATCAAAAGTCACCACACAGAGACGGATCCTGGACATGGGGTCCTCTTGTCAAGCCGCTCCTGAACAACAATGTCAGAAGCGTCTTACCTGGGCTAAAGAAAAACAGAACTGGTCTGTTGCTCAGTGGTCCAAAGTCCTCTTTTCTGATGAGAGAAACTTTTGCATCTCATTTGGAAACCAAGGACCCTGTCGGTGTGTGCTCCTTTCAAAATCCAAGAAAGAAATACTCAGACTCCATGGTTCAGAGCAAAGTTCTTCTTTTACTGGAAGATGAAAAGGAAGCTACAAATGGAATTCCGAAAGTGAGAATTTGGCGCGCAGATCACACATACAAAGAAATGGAATTGTTCCCACCCCCCAAAGTCCAGAAGTCTCCGCCAATTAAAAGTTCCGAATATGATCATGTGAGCATCTTCAGGTAGTGATGAGGCCTCTGTCCGTTGACCTTGACATATTTTGATAAGACCTCGCAGCTGCGCAAAAAAGGATAGAGCTAGGAAAGAAATGGAAAATTGGAAAGAAGAAATCCCCCCCCTTCTTCTGCCCACAGTAAAAAATGCAAAACACCTCCAGCTCTCTTCCCCCCCACAATTACCCCTCCCCCCCGTTGCTAATGACAGCCGAAAGAAGTAAGCCTAGTAGTAGAGATACTAAGGGAGAAATAAAGGATAATAGTTGGGGTACCCGAAGAGATCTTGAGGCTGACAGACCCAGAGTCTGGAGGAAGAATGGAGAGGCACACACTGCAAGATGCTTGAAGTCCAGTGTGAAGTTTCCACAGTCTGTGTTGATTTGGGGAGCCATGTCATCTGCTGGTGTTGGTCCACTGTGCTTCAATAAGTCCAGGGTCAATGCAGCCATCTACCAGGAGATTTTGGAGCACTTCATGCTTCCTTCTGCAGACGAGCTTTATGGGGATGCTGACTTCATTTTCTAGCAGGACTTGGCAACTACCCACACTGCCAAAAGCACCAAAAGCTGATTCAATGACTGTGGGATTACTGTGCTTGATTGGCCAGCAAACTCGCCTGACCTGGACCCCATAGAGAATCTATGGAGCATTGCCGAGAGAAAGATGAGAGACATGAGACTGAACAATGCAGAAGAGCTGAAGGCCGCTATTGAAGCATCCTGGTTTCCATAACACCTCAGCAGTGCCACAGGCTGATAGCTTCCATGCCACGCCGCATTGAGGTAGTAATTGCTGCAAAAGGGGCCCAAACCAAGTACTGAGTACATATGCATGCTTATACGTTTCAGAGGTCCGATATTGTTCTATGTACAAGTCTTGTTTTATGGATTGCATGTAATATTCTAATTTTCTGAGATTGCAGATTTAGGGTTTTCATGAGCTGTAAGCCATAATCATTACAATTATGACAAATCACAGCTTGAACTATCTTGCTTTGCATGTAATGAGTCTATCTCATATATTAGGTTCACCTTTTAAGTTGCATTACTGAAATAAATGAACTTTTGCACGATATTCTAATTTTTCATGTTTCACCTGTATATCCAAAAGGAAGAAGATTATGTAATTTAGGACAATCATGTCAAAAACAACATGCCTATTTCCATTAATGTGCTCTCAATAAATCTCAAAGTGCCCTTCCAAATGTAGTATGTATCTTTTGGCTTTAGATACTTTTTCGAATGGAAGAACACATTCAGTAGATGTTTTCTGAGCCAGTAGAGATATTTAACACGTCAAGGTATTCTCCTATAAGGTTATTTCATTAGCAACAATGGGGCCAGAACTAGAAGGTCAGCAAAAGGAGAAAAAGATCCTTCCATTGAAGACATAATCTGAGCAGAACTCTACTGATTCTATTGATGGGACCAAATTTTGATTTTAAACTACTGAGTTAGCAATAAGAATTAGCAATAAACTAGCACCCTTAGAGCTATAATCGCTTCATATATAGTGAATATCTGTACAAAAGAACTTAGCAAAAGCATTTAGGTAAAGGCCTAAGAGTCTACAATGTTTAATATAGATTGTGTTAATCTTTCTTTTATCTTTGGAACATAATCTCAAAAGTAAATGGATGGACAAGGAAAAAATAAGTTTGGTGTCCACCTTCAAGAAGAACCAGATTGTACACAAGTCAGAACTTTCTTAGGAGTATGAGTCACAGTTAAGGTTGTTATTGTCCACTGAAAAACTGAGGCTTTGTTTCCACATATACCTATAAATAAATGAACCTGCCCCTTATTTGTATGAGTTGAAATCCTGTTTAGGTGGATTCCTCCACATCCTGAAGAAGAGTACGAAAGTTTAAAATAATCTACTTAATCATTTTGTTTATGTCCTCCTCTTTAAAAAATATTTCATAGCATGTATATAAAATTGATAAGAATATACACATACTCGGGGTTATAGTAGAACCTGCTTCTAAAATGCTGGTGTTTTATTAATGTTACATACACTATGCTTTATAATTAAGAACTTGTGTCACTATTCTGATTGTCACAGAAGAACATCAGCTCCTCAAATTTATTCTATCTATCATACTTCAGGCCTTTCTAATAGAAAATTTACTACCTGATGTTGCATTAAATTGGAAAGAATTTCAAACTTCCACATGTGAGATCACTAAACACCAGGTCCAGTGGTAGGATTCAAATATTTTTACTAATGGTTCTGTGAGCATGGCTTGGTGGGCATCGCAGAGGAAGGGTGCTGTAAAATATCCAGTCAGAGGTGGTATTTGCCGGTTCTCCGAAGTACTCAAAATTTCTGCTATTGGTTCTCCAGAACTGGTCAGAACCTGCTGAATACCATCTCTAACCAGGTCCATTGTGGAGGAAGATCTGGGAGATGATATATTTGAGGAGTAGAAAGCCAAAGATTACACATTATGCTACCTCACTTAACTACTCTGACCTAATTAATAAAATATTACTGCCTCTAAAATATTTATATGCTGACTTCATGTTACTGTTTTATAGACTATATGCCCATTTGTGCTTTGTTTTTTTCTTTACATATTTATATTTATATATAGCCATAAGATGCAGAGAATCTGTTTTACTTTCATAACAGTAAATAATTTACTACATAAATAAGTTGTATTTAAATGCCTTTATCATATATGCTTACAACTGGCTGGTTTATATCTTAGAGTTGAAGCATGAGTTACATTTCTTTTAATGTCATAAACATTTTCGTTACAATTGCTGAGTATCTCCATTTTGAGGTAAAATATTCTTAGAAAAACAGGATATCAAGCTGGCACAGGAAAGAAAAAAAGATGGAGTCTATTCATTTATATGTGCCAGCACATAATTAAGAGTAGCACAAGTATATACCAAGATGTCATTTGATCACTGGTAGCCTCATAGTTAGTCCACTTGTCAAGATGTTGTCCCAACTGCATCAATCAGCAATTGTAGATCAATTAATGTGAGACTACTTTATTGAAACAAATAGGGAGGCCCATTAAATTATGATGGGTATGACCTACTATGAAGGTTGGAGTTTGTTTTTTATTTATTATTATGTGGTCCTCTGGCTGTCCCCTCTCTATGAAATAATGTCATAATTTTCCATTTAAAAAAATATGATTCTGGTCTATAACTATTAGATACATGCATGAAGCTAGATTGACAGATGATAGAAGATAGATAGATAGATAGATAGATAGATAGATAGATAGATAGATAGATAGATAGA